TAGGTCAGCTGGTTAGAGCATAGCCTTATAACATCAAGGCCATGGGTTCGGATCCCTGTATCAGCCAAGCTACCAAAATAATAACAACAAGGTTTACTTAAAAAAAAAAAAAGCTACATTAATTAAGGGTAGTATTAGCAAAGGGATAAGACATATACATCAATGAAACAGAATGGAAAGTCAGAAATAGACCCACACGAATATGGACAATCAATTTTGACAAAGATGAAAAGGCAATTTCAATGAAGAAACAACAGTCTTTTCAACAAATGGTACTGGAACAATGGGACATCTATTTGCAAAAAAAAAAAAAAAAATCTCAAACTAAACCTCATACTTTATACAAAAATTGATTCAAAAAGGATCATATCATAAATCAAAATGTAACAATCCAAATTTATAGTTACAAAGCTATAAAACTTTTAGGGGGGGAAAAAGGAGAGAAAGGATTAAGCAAAAAGTTATTAGACATGACACCAAAAGACAAACTTAACAAATTGAACTAGGCTGGCCAGTTAGCTCAGTTGGTGAGAGCACAGTCTGGTAACACCAAGGTCAGGGGGTACTGGCCAGCCAGCAAAAAAATAAAAACAAATTGAACTTCATTAAAATCATGAGCTTTTCTTCTAATAAAGATCCTGAAAAGAGGATAAAAAGAAAAGCTACAAACTGTGAGAAAACATTTTTAGTAACATATCAGGAAAAGGACTTCTATCTGGAATACACAAAGAAGTCCCAAAGTTCAACAGTAAGAAAACAAACAACCAATTTTAAAATGGGCGAAAAACTTGAATAGTAATCTCACCAAAGAGGATATACAGATGGCAAATAAGCACATGAAAACCATGTTCAACATCATTAGCCATTAGTAAAATACAAATTAAAATCATGATTAAATAAAACTATAAACATATTAGAATGACTAAAATACAAAAATACTGACAATTCCAAGTGCTAGCAAGGACAAAGACCAACTAGAACTATCACACATTGCATGCATATAAAATACAGGAATGCAAAATGATACAACCACTTAGGAAAACGGTTTGGCAGTTTCTAATAAAGTTAAATATGTTTACACTAGAGAAATTAACCTTATGTTCACACAACAACCTGTACACAAATATTTATAACAGCTTTATTAATAATTGACAAGAACTGGCAATGACCCAAACATCCTTCAACAAGTAGACTGATAAACTGTAATATATCTACATAACTGAATGCTTCCCAACAATAAAAAGTATTGACTATTGACATGTGCAAAAATGTGGATGAACATCAAAAGCATCACGCTGAGTGAAAGAAGGCAATTTCAAAAGGTTATATACTGCATGATTCCATTTTATAGGATATTCTCAAAAACATAAAACTGCTAATGGAGAAAAGATAAATAGCTGCCAGGGGAAAATTAATATGTGACTTACCGGATACAAGATCAATATAAAAATCTTTTGTACTTCTATATACTAGCAATAAGCTAATAAAAAATTAAATTTCAGGCTGGCTGGTTAGCTCAGTTGGTTAGAGCCTGGTGCTAATTAAAACCACAATGAGAAACCACTACAGTTAATATCAAAAACAGCCTAATATATGACGACATAAGTCAAAACGTGGTTACCTTTAGAAGGGAATGAGTGGGAGGGGGCACAAAGGAGCTTCTATGGTGCTGGTAAGGTTTTATTTCTTGATCAGGTTGGTGAATAACACAAAGATGTTCATTTTCTACAAGTTTCACACCTATGACACATTCACTTTTCCACATCCATATTTCATTTAATAAGTTCACATTAGAAAAGAAAAAAAAATTTTCCATAAACAACTCCATATCTAGGTGGTCTTACCAGTGAACTCTAACAAACATTTAAGGAAAAAGTAACACCAATCTTGGGCCGGCCCGTGGCTCACTCGGTAGAGTGCGGTGCTGATAACACCAAGGCCGTGGGTTCGGATCCTATATAGGGATGGCCGGTTTGCTCACTGGCTGAGCGTGGTGCTGACAACACCAAGCCAAGGGTTGAGATCCCCTTACCGGTCAACTTTAAAAAAAAAAAAAAAAACACCAATCTTAAAAATTTTAAAAAGCAGAATATCATTTAAAGATGCCAGCATGACCTGACACCCAAAACTTGAGAAGGGTATTATAAGTAAAGCAAATTAAAGGACAATCTATATCACAGACAAAGTTACAAAAATCCTAAACAAATATTAAACTGAATCTAGTGATATATACAAGGGTACTTCAAGAAGTTCATGGAAAGATTTGTTTAATCTTTCAATTCTATTTTTCCACAAACTTTTTGAAGTACCCTTGTATAAGTTGAGTTTATCCCAGGAATGCACTTAACTTTTGGAAACGCAGCAATGTAATTATCCAAAATTAACAGACTAAAAGAGAAAAATCATATGATTTTTTCAATGCAGGAAAAACATTTGATAAAATTTGTAAGAAACACACACACACTCTCTTAGCAAGGTAGGAATACAAGGAAATTTCCTTAATCTGATACAGAGTTATCTACAAAACAAACACATGCTAACATCATACCTGCTACTCATATTGAAAGCATTCCCTAGGAAAGGGAAAAAGACAAGGACACCTTCTATCACCACTTTTTTTTCAAAATTCTACTGGAGATCCTAGACAGTGTAATAAGGGGGAAAAAGTCATAAAGGATTGGAAAGGGGGCCAGCCCCGTGGCTGGCTCACTCGGGAGAGTGCGGCGCTGGTAGCACCGAGGCCGAGGCCGTGGGTTCGGATCCTATATGGGGATGGCCGGTGCGCTCGCTGGCTGGGCGTGGTGCGGACCACACCGTGCAGAGGGGTGCGATCCCCTTACCAGTCAGAAAAAGACAAAAAAGGATTGGAAAGGAAGAAAAAGAGCCATTATCCACAGTGTATGAAATTATGTGTGTAGAAAATCTAAAAGAATCTACAAACTATTGCCTCAGAGAATAAATCATTAGCCTCTACAAGTAAACTATTAAAACCCAAAAGAAAGGCCAGCCCGTGGCTCACTTGGGAGAGTGTGGTGCTGATAACACCAAGGCCACAGGTTCAGATCCCTATATACGGATGGCCGGTTAGCTCATTTAGGAGAGCGTGGTGCTGACATCACCAAGTCAAGGGTTAAGATCCCCTTACCGGTCATCTTTAAAAAAAAAAAAAAGAATCTATAGGTAAACAGCTGAATAAATAAAACTGTAGTATAATTGTACAAAGGAACCTTACACAATAATGAAAATTAATGAATTAATGAACTACTGCTACAAGCAACAACATGAATGAATCTCACAGAATGTTGAGTGAAAAGGGCCGGCCCCGTGGCTCACTCAGGAGAGTGAGGTGCTGACAACACCAAGGCCACAAGTTCGGATCCCATATAGGGATGGCTGGTCAGCTCACTTGGGTGAGCGTGGTGCTGACAACACCAAGTCAAGGGTTAAGATCCCCTTACCGGTCATCTTTAAAAAAAAAAAAAGAATGTTGAGTGAAAGACATCAGAAAGAGCACATGCTAAAGAGTTCCATTTATACATTCAAAACCAGACAAATTAATCTATAATGCTAAAACTCATTTTGGTTAGTGGTTAGTGGATAGTGGTTACTTTTAGAGAGGAAAAGGAAGTAATGATTGGTAGGCAGTTCATGTGAAGTTTCTAGAGTTCAGTAACATTCTACATCTTGACCAGGGTAACTGTTATGTGGATGTGTTCACTTTGTGATAATCTATTGAGCTGTACACTTTTAATTTATACACTTTAATGTACATATGCTATTCCTCAATGTCTCAAAAAAGTTTATTACAACTCTTTCTATTTATATTCCACTGCTTAAAATACTTTAATGGCTCCCCATAAGCCTAACAGCAAAATCTAAGCTCTTAAGCATGGCAAAAAATGATGTTGTTTTTACTTTTAACTTAATCCTCATCCTTCACATATACTTTATATTCCAATTTCCCAAAGTATTTATAGGTCCAGGACATGATATGCTGCTTTGGCCTTCTTTCCTTTAGACATTGTTTCCTCCCTTTTTATACTTCACCCATACTCACCACACACTGCCCCAGAAATTTCTACCCAACTTGGATATTAATTCCAAGACCCTTCCCTATCCCACTTTCCCAAAGTTAATCATTCCCTTTTCTACACTCAGTATTATCTACACTCTATTATCCCACACATCAAGCTATAATGTAACTATCTATATGTCAGTGCATCCTCTATTACATCATGGATAATTCAAGCACAAAGTCTGAATTTTCACGTTGCCAGTGCCTAGCATAAGGCTTGACATGTGGTCATCGCTCAATTTCACTCTTATGTATATATTCTTACAAATTAGACTGTAAAGCCATCCAGGATTAAGCGTAAGTCTTACACTTCCTCCACTTCACGTAGCACAGCAGTGAGCACACTACAGCGACAGTGACAGTTTAGCTAGCAGTGAAATATGCACCAAAACTTAGTTCCAAGGACAAAATGCTCTTTTCAAACTATATGTTCACCAAAGATAAAGTATGTATGTCCTACTAAAATTGCAAAAGGTCATCATCCTTTTGTACATAGAGACTATGTTTTCTGCTAGAAAATACCAAAAAAGATTACCTAGACAAAACCATTCTCTGGGAAAAATTAAGTGGCTTGCTCAAGGTCAAGGCTATAGACAGAAGGGCCAAGACTAGGACTCAGATCACCTGGCTTCTCATTTAGTGCTTTCTCACAATCCATGCAGCCTCCCTTTTGAACACACGTGACTTCTCAAAGTAAGTGGTATGACTGCTTTACTTTTTATATTTAGACAGTTAGGGGATGGCCCGGTTACCTCAGTTGGCTAGAGCTCGGTGTTAACACCAAAGTCAAGTGGAGGGTTCAGATCCTCGTACCCAACAGCCACCAAAAAAAAAAAAAAAAAAATGCATTGTATCCTCAATTGCAACACTTTTTAAAAATCTCATTTTAAAATCTGGCTAATACATGGATACTAAAAGTACCAACAAGTTCAATCAGGAAAACACCATTTCCAGTTCCAATATCGAGCACTGAAGCATCCAGTGGAATCTTGTGTTTCTGCATCCACCTTATTAGTCGATTCATACTCTCTTCTCCAAACCTGTTAGAAACAGAATCAATTAATCAAATGACAGAGGGATATGGAGCAAAAGTTATAGCTATATTCTATTTAATCTGTTCACACCATATGCCCAACTGAGTCTTTTTTTAAAGTGAGAAGTAATATTTGTGACTGCTTAAGCTTCATTTCTATTGTTATTTAGGAGAAAACACCTCCAAGAACAGAACAGAAAGGTCAGTATATTAATGAATAATTTTCTCTACATAAGCATTAACATTTATACATGTCGGCAGCTCAAAATTTTATAGCTTATTTAAAAAAGGACAACTATAGGACAAAAATAATCTCCTAATACTCTGATCAAATTTAAATCTGGGTCACCAGAAGAAAGAGGAGATAGTTTAAATCTACCTGCTTAAGCCAGTCTCAGTCCAAGGTTCCCAAGATTTTTAAGTTGTCTTTCTTTGGTACAAGTTCTTTAAAAATTTACACATACAATCTTCTGGATCATAATTCGATTTTTTTTCCCTAACTCACCAGATTTCTCCTGTATCTCCATATTCTCGAAAAGTATGCAGTTCTCTCTCATAGACGGCATCCCAACTATGTAAACAATGAAACACAAATTGAGACTCTTGAATTAAACTGTATTAATCCAATACATTGAATTACACTGTATTAATTCAATACATTGAATTAAACTATTATTCTAATCCATTACAGAGCAATTTATTTCAGAGGCGTAAAATATTATTAGTGTTATCAATAAGCGTACATAGCTCAATCTCTTAACATCCTTGAAAGACGTGGGCAAGCAGAACAAGTTTATACATGTCAAGCACTTAGAACAATACCTAAGGCATAACACACGCTATATAAGTATTAGCGAGAGAGAGAGAGACATTTGCTCAAAGATTTCTAAATCCCAGATCGAAGTCTAAAACTTGACTGTTGAAGCAATTACCACACATTTGGTGTCAAGCGTTCAGACACAGGATTTTCTACCAGTACAGTGACGGCTCACTGTGGAACGCAACAAGGAAAAGATCTTCTTAAAGGTTAAGTTTAAGATTTAAGTCTTAAACCAGTCTCTCTCCTGTGCATTTGTCTCCGCCGCTTCCTGTCTTCTAGCCCTCCACTTAAGTTTTCCCTTAATCCTTTGAAGCATGCTCCCCTCTACCGTCTGCCTTCTCTTCCTACTTCATCCCTCTAGAATCCCTGCTTCCTGTCACCCCTCCAAGTTACCGCTCATCCCAACCGTTCCCCAAAGTCACTCACGCATCCATCTAATCTACTAATTCATTAGATAGTTCCCGAGCGTCTGTTTTAGGTCAGATCACTTTCTCTTACCCCCGATAACCCGCTACGTCCTCGCTCCCTCCGCAGGTCGTTCTCCACTCCCACGTCCCCACCCCTTGTCCCCTCAGCCTCGTCAGCTCCCTGGCCCGGCCGTTCTCCCCCGGCCGCTTACCCTCGCCCACCAGCCCTATTCCTCAGCCCCGCCCCCGCAAGCCTGTCTCTCGGGTTCAAGACCCCCAAAAGGCCTCCCCAAGAGCCAAGAGTTTCAGGGCCCATCCCGCACCCCACGAGCCAGCTCGTAAACCCCGCGTCACCTCCCCCAAGGCGGCCCTTCAGGCTTCCCCCCCGTCACGCCCCCAAGGCTTTCCCGGCCCCCGGGCCTCCACCCCGTCGTTCCCTCCCTGGGACCCAGGCCGGGCAGCCCCGCTCACCCTCCCCTGAGCCACACTCACTGCTCTCGGGTTCCCAGCGCCGACGGGACGAAGCCGTCCTCCGCTGGACTGCCCTCTCGGGACCGCGCCGCGGCCGCAGCGCCGCCGCTGCCGTCAGCACCCGCGCTCATCTCGCCTGGCGCCCTGGACTGCCGTTAGGGCCGCCATAGAGACGTGGCACGGGCAGAGCGGATGTGCGGACTGGCGCCTCTAGGCGGCGGGAGGTCGCCCTCTCTACTGCTCCTGGACCGACTCTGGGGCAGCAAGGGGGCGCGGGCCGGACCTCCCACCCTGCGCCCTCTAGCACGCCTCAGACGCACCCCAGGCGTCGAGGTCCAAGGGCGACTGTATTGGGGAACTGTTGTGTGTAAGAGACCATTCAAGGTATTGAATTTTGGAAAACGGCTGACAGTAAATACCTAAAGCCGACACCACTCTATCCAAACTTGCACAGATCACCCAGATCTGGGAAGTGGGTGGGACAGTCCATCGCATTTTTGGCTTCCCAGCCAGAAGGCTAATTTCATTTGTGCTTGGGATTCTGACTTGAATATAGTATTCTGATGATGTCACTGGTGGACGTGGGAATTTATACCTAGGGAAATAAACGTCCCACAACTCCACACAATACACAACCATGGGGATCAGTTTGTTGTGGAAGAAAGGGCACCAAAGTGACAAGATGCCTGGATGAGCCTCAGCTGTGCCCCGAATCAGGCACCTGGCCTGACGCAAGTATTAACCTCTGTGGGCTTCCTCTCCTCACTGTACCGTGCTTAAAATAGATGGTGACTTGTTCTACAAGATTGCTCCCAAGCAATGAACCTGAGATTGCATCTGCCTCTTGGTCTGGCTGCCATTGGTTGTTCTACAGCATAATGCAAGAGACCTTATGGGCCAAAGGTCTGGGGTATTTTCTGTAGCAGCACTGAAATACTGGTGATCCATTGTCCTAGGCAAGGACCTCAAAGGCACCTAGCAAAGCTGCCTTCTGAAAGGGTGCACGGACCCAAGCTGATAAGACGACAGGACCCGAGCTGACAGTTCACCAGAGAAGTTCCACTTTATTCAAGGACTGTGCGTATATTTATGGGTTTGGATAGGGGGTGGACGGGCGGGAGCTGATTGGACGGGGCTGGGCAGGAAGTGAGCCCTGGCCTGTGACTGGTTGAGGTTTTGGCACTGGCGGGCATTTACTGCGGAGAAGAACCCGGAAGGGCGCCATATTGCCAGGGAGTGCCTTTTCCCTCCCCCTTCCCTTGAGTGCCCACGGTGTCCTTACACCTTCCAACCAAAAGGAATTGTTTCTTTGGCCACGTCTCTGTTGACTCTGCAGACAGAAGCCCAATAACAAGTGCCTAGAAGTAAACAGTATCAACAGTTGCCTTTCCGGCCCACAGAAATCCTGATTTGGACTGAATGTGCATCTCTTCCTGTACATGGTGTTCCAAGATCTTTGGACAACCACTGGTGATAGAATAAAGTAATAGGCAGATTGGAATCCATGTGCACAGTGATTAAAGAACTCAAGAAAGAGCCTAGGTAACCTTATTACAGAGCAATAAACCCACCAGATGCACGGCCAATTAGTGTTGCCCTGGGCGAGTGGTTGTTTTGATCTATTCTAGACTCTGGATGATAGAGAAAGCAAGCTTGAATGTGACTGAGAGAGTCTTAAAAAGTTTTAGGTTCTAATTAAGAAGCACCCATGAAAGATAAGCCCATCTTCAACCTGGTGTCTTGCCAACACTTAAGATGCTTTTGCTGTGTGATGAAAGCTATAAACAGTTACTGGTATGGAGCCCTGGAAAAACCCATGGTTTATAAAGAGTTCCTTCTCTGGCTCCAGGCAGGATTGGTCTGGCTGTTTAGTTCTGAAGGCTGTGTGGGGCACCACCTCTGATCACCCAGGGCAACGGGATTCTTGGTAGGGGGTGGAAAAGCTCTACCCGAGCAGAGCTGCCCATCACCAGGGAGAAGCAGGAATGTGCCAAGGAACACAGTCCCTCCCACTTGGTGCCCATTACATGAGACAGGAGGGAGACTCTGTAAGCACTGTCGGTTGCCTGTCTCCTTCTTACTCTTCAGAACTCTTGGCACCCTATTCACCTACGACTCCTCTGAAACTGTGCTTCCCAGAGTTCTTCAACACTTCCCAATTGGCAACCCAAGGGTCAAGTTCCAGGTTTTACCCTCCTTGGCTCTCTGCAGCCGTTAGCAACACAGAGTACACCCTTCTTGAAAACTTCTTGTTTTCCCATCACCTTGCTCTTAAGAGAGCCTTTAAAAGAGGAATGCTCTAGAGTTGGATTGCCAGGTTTTGAGCTCTGACCTCCACGTGACCATGGGCAAGTTCTTCACTTCTCATGGCCTCAGTTTGCCCATCATTATAACAAGGGTAATAATAGCACCTATGTATTGCATAGGGCAGCTGGAGAAAGTAATCATTCCTGTTAAATCCTACCTGCCTGGCACGTGATAAATGCTCAGTAAATGTTAGCTCAGTTTCTGCAACTATAAAATGGTCCTATTTCAGAGAGTTGTTAGGAAGATTAAATAAGTTAATACACCGTATATGTAAAGAACATAGAACAGAGCCTGACATATAGTGTTCAGCAAATGTTAATAATAATATTATTACTAGAGACTTCCAATTCCAACCTCTTGCCTCAGCTTCAGATTTTTATTGCAGCTGCCTAGATGTCCCTTGTTACATTAAACTTGGCGTGTTCAAAGCTGAACTCATTTGCACTACCTGCACCCCAGCCTCATGCCTCCAAACCCTTTTTTTCCAGTTCTCCATTCAGTTGGTCCCTGACCATCTACACCATCACCCAAAGTGAAGCGTTATCCTTGTCCTTCCCTCCCTGCACAGCTCCTCCTGGTCTCCTCTTGGCCACTGGGCTCAGTGGCATTTCTCCAGCCTGTCACCACTGCTCTGCCTTCCTTCTGGCCACACAGCTCACTGTTCACTGAGGCCATGGCAGCAGCTTCCAGGTAAACGTCCCAGGAGCCATTCAGCACTAGGCCCGAGCTATGCCTTGCTCCCTTCCCTTCCTCCAGAGAGGCCTCCAAGACTCAGCCAGTTTTCCTCTCCTTCAGTGTATGACACCACTCATGCCTTTCCTATGCATTTTCCTGCCTGACCATGGACTATCTAGTCAAACAAACTTGAACTTCAATCACAACTTAGTCCATTTAAGGAAAGACATTGGGCAAGTTACTTTAAGACTCGGTTTCCTTAGCTACAAAATGGGCATAATCCAAGTGAAATTGGACTCTCTTGTTCCCACTTTCAGACCCATTGTAGCAGAGTGTAGCATTGGCATGTATATATGCACATGTAGAAATTTGTTGTTTTGTTTTGATATATATAAATAGACTCTTACCATTTGTATGTTTACAACTTACATCTTCATTTAGCAATATCGTAGCAATATACTTGGAAATCTTTTCTTGTCAATACCTATAGATCTCTTATCTTTTAAACTACTTCATGATAATAGAAATGATGGCTAACAATCACTGGGCTGTCACTGTGTACCCAGACCTGTGTTAAGCACATTCAATATATTACCTCAGTTACTCTTAAAGATAGCCACATAAAGTAGATCCTAGTATTATCCTCATTTTACAGATGAGCAAATAAGGGCACATAGAAGTTGGCCAAGGTCACACAGTAAGTTCTGGAGCTGAAATTGGAACCAAACAATCTGCTATAAAGTTTTCAAGCATAACCATTGCATGGGTGTGCTCTATGATGATAGGTGTTTTGATAAAGGTATTCAAGAGGAAGGCAGCCAAAAGGGATTATGTCACACAACACACAATGCAAGAACCTAAAAATTCTTTATCCTTATTGCTCTGTCCCCAAAGTCTGGAATCTTATTGCAGCTACTCATGTCCTCTTATCATTCTCTTTCTTCTTCTCCCCGCAGACTCTGCCAGTCCATCTGGCTCTCTCTTTCGGGGGAGGGCGGGGGGACGGCTGCCCAGTGTGGGCAGCCAAACCTTTGATCTTGGTATTACCAACACCAGGCTCTAACCAACTGAGCTAACCAGCCAGCCCACATCTGGCTCTATTTCCTCTCTCATCTCCTGCATCTCAAAATGTTTCTTCAGTGGGAAACCCTATGTACCTCCTTATTAGCAAGCTTACGCCTTCTAACAGCTTCTTCTGACTGCGTCTCCCTCTAGCACCCTTCTGATCCAACACAACCATCTTCCCTGGGACCCTTCCACTTTTTCATGCAACATTCACTCAACAATTGTGTATTGGGCAGTGTCTATGTGCCAGGCATTATTCCAGATAATGGTTAGCAAATCAAATATGAATCCCTGTCTTCATGAAGTTCAGAAAATTCTGATGGAGGGAGAATGACAATAGATAGGAAAAACGAATGAAATAGAGATGATGCTAGATGATGATAAGTGATAAAGGGAAAAGTGAAACAGCAAAGCAATACTGAGGATGTGGGGTGATTGTTGCAATGCTGGTTTGGTAACCAGGAAAGGACTCTCTGAGGGGTTGGCACTGAGTAAAAACCTAAAAGAGATTGTCAGAAGTTGTGTTCCCAAGGAAGCAGATTCTGAGTCTGAGATGGAGGTGAATATGGAGTTCTCTCAGGACCCACACCTTTTAGGGAAGGAAAAGAAGTGGGATTAAGCAGAGAAAGTAGTTGGGCTGGGTTACCATTACAACAGAGCTTCAGCAAACCCCCTAACCATCCCCCATCTTGGGCACTGTGAAGCTGGGATGACCCTTTGGAATTATCCCAAGCTGGAGTGAAGAAGATGGGCCTTTATTCATCTACATTGACCAGGCATTGAACGCAGGTTTAGCAGTAAAGGAGGAGTGACCTTAGGTAATGAGACTCTCTTCCACTGGGGATAATTCCAGAGAGGGCTGACAGCTGTGAGTTGTCAGCTGACAACTTCCCCAGTAGCTGGGATAATAATTCAATCAATCCTCAAAGGCCAGGGGGAGGGGAGGGCCTGGGTGGCACATCAAAGCATCTAGGCTAGAGACAAAGCAGTAAGTCTTCCAGCTATTTGAGAGAAGAGCATTCCAGTCAAAGGAAACAGCAAGTGCAAAGGCCCTGAAGTGGAATGAGTTAGGGATATCCAGGAAGCAGAAAAAAGACTAATGTAGCTGAAGCTGAGTAAACAAAGGGGGCAGTAATAAGGTCATGGTATTTTAAGCTTTGGAGTTTGGCCAAGAAACAACATGATTTAAATTTTAAATGTAAATGTTAACATGCCATTTTGGCTATATTGAAAATAGATTTGGCAGGCAAGGGCTTAAAGGCAGAAGCAGGAACATAGGCTTCTCAACCTCATCACCATTGACATTTTGGATGGGATAATTCTTTGTTGTGGAGCCTGTCCTGTGCACTACAGGATGTTTAGCAGCATCCCTGGCTTCTACCCAATAGATGCCAGTGGCACCCTTCCCCAAGTTATGAAATCTAAAAATGTCTCTAAACATTGCCAACTATCCCCTGAGAGGCATAACTGCCACCAGTTTGGATCTCCTGAGTTAGAGGTTGTTACAATAATCCAGGGGAAAGATGATGGTAGCTTAGACCAGGGTGGTAGGTGTGCTGGTGGTGAATTGTAGTATCCTGGGTATATTTTGAAGACTCTGCTAGCTGACTAAATGTAGGGTGTGAGAGAAAGGGAGGTGTTGAGGATGATTCCAAGATTTTTGATTTCAGCAACTGTCAGCAAACATTTCTATTTGCTGAGCTTGGGAACAGTGTGATAGAAGGAGCTTTGTGAGAAACCAGGAGCCCAGTTTTGAACATGAAAGACTGAACAAATTGAATAATAATGATTAGTAACGTTAGTTCCTTCCCTGTTTTTTTCCCCCATTTTTGATAGTTATTTTTACTGTTATTTAATATTTATGTTGTTTTTATCTTCTTTCTGTGATTTTTAAAATTTGCATTGTGTTCTTTTGTACCAAGAATCCAATTGCTTCTTACCACCTCCAGTGCTGCCATCATTTCACATCTAATCATCACCAACCCACCCACATCCCAAGTCTGGATTACTGTAATAACCTCCCTTCCCTTTCTTCCCTCCCCTGACGCAAGTGTCAGCTTTGCAGCCTGAGTGGCCATATTAAAATTGAAATCACATCATGTGTGAGGAAAATGGAGTAGTTTGGTCAGGCCCCCTCTCCTCAGGTCTGGATGGGGGTGATGCAGCACATTCTTTGTAAACAAGTTGTGTAGGGGTGGAGTTAGTGCACATGGGTGCCTGGCTACTTTTATCTTGTTGCTATTCATGTGTGTTCTTCAGTGTGTGAAGCAGGGGCTCTGAACTGCTGCTAGGCAGAACTCGTGTCTAAAAATAGAGCATGTTTACTTTGCTGGCAGCTGCTCAGTTTCTCTTTGGACTGCCTAGCTCGTAGACGTGCGCGTGCGCACGCCTGCTGAGTAAAAATTATTATCTCTTAGACCAAGGCTCCAAGGACCTTTTTTCCTATTACCCAGCTCGTAGACCTGCGCGTGAAGCGTTTGTGACCCAGTCTGGGCACCTGGCACCAGGGGTCTGTGAGCTCCAGACCCAGCCCTAGCGCTACATCATATCACTCTGATGTCAAACCCAAAACAACTGTTCAATTGCCTGAATCATCTCCCTCCTATCATTCTTGAGCTCAGTAAACTTTGGCTTTTAATACTGAGTTCCGCTTGTAAAGAGAAGAAACTGGGCAACTGTCAAGGGCTATACAGAGGAGGCGTTGTCTGAGGCACGCTGGGCGAGGGACCCCTGCGGAGGATACACTGCAGTGGGGAAAAGCTGCATTTCTCAACCCTCACCACTGCGCGCTCAGGACCCCGGGCCCCAGCAAGCCGCAGACTCCATTTCCCAGGATGCCAAGGGGCGGGGCCGCCGGAAGACCGTGCGCCCTCCGCGGGGCATGATGGGAGAGTTGGAGGTTTTCATCATGGCGGCTTCCATTTCGGGCTACACCTTCAGCGCTGTGTGTTTCCACAGCGCCAACAGCAACTCGGACCACGTAGGTGCCGGGCCCCCTGCCGCGGCCACTGAGGGCCCTCACCCTTCGCTTCGGGCGGCGCCCGCGGCCAGACCAGGACTGTTTGCGGCTCGTCCCTCGGGGTCCGGGACTGGCCAGGGGAGCTGGTGACCCGGACGGCTCCCGCCCCTGGCGATCTTCTGCCGCCCAGGGCTCCTTCGCTCCCTGGAAGGGCCCCATCGACCGACGCCCTCCGCCGCCCCGCAGCCCCGAGACAGCTGTCTCCAGTCGAGCAAAGCTGTGCATCCTGGCCCCCTGCACTGTCAGGAGTCGTTTTTGGTGGAAACCGAGCGCCTGCCCCTCCCCGAGAGTCAGGCTTCTAGACTTAAAAGGGGCGCCCGGGGTCGGGAAGGAGTCGAGAGGCCAGGCTCTTAGTCTAGGAGGCGGGGGACGGAGCCCCGTCTGCCGGCCTCACAGGTTGTCTTGGGGTGCAGAGAGTGAAACCATGGCTGTCACTATTCGTACTTGTTAGACAAGGTTGTGTGTTTTCCTCGCCTCGATGGAAAATGGAGAATGTAAATAGGAGTGTTAGGTGCAGGGCCTATTTATATTTCCTTGAAGTTGCATGTTTAGTTTCTTGGTGAATGTTCTATGACCACGGAACTAGTGGCAATGAAATAGGGAAGTGACAGGCCCATGTATGAGTGATCGAAAATGCATAGACTTCAGAGCCCACAGGGGGAGCAGAGCCTCTCTGTTCGATATGTTTATTTTACGAACTGTCATTTAATGTCACTGGCCTCTGGTTGGAAAATCTTTGTGAAATTAGATAATTTTTCTCTTAAAGGAGACATTTAATTTGCCCACCAAATTGGGGGATTGTTTTAAGTGGTGTTAATAGTGAATGATTCAAATTCAGTACATAACTGTGGGGGGTTTTTTTGTGGTTGTCATTACAAAGCAAAATGGTACGCTGCAGAAGGAAGAACTAGATTTGGTTTTGCCAATGCCAATAGCTGCAACTGTGTTTTATATGTCAGCAATCGTAACTTCCATTAATAAAAAGTTATTTCACGGAAAGGTGATGCCATTAGTAAATTGAAGGAAATTAAATTAATGTACTTTTCATCTGTTCAGTGTTGATGGTAGAGATTAATGATAGGAATATACACACCATGGATTTTTTTTCCAGAGGCAACTCTGGCTACTACAGCCTTTGGTACTGCAGCCAGCTATTTAATAATGTAATGCAGTTCCGTATGTAGGTGGTTTGTGATACCCCCTGTGCCCATGGACTATTAAATGTGGGTTCAGTGATGCTTCTTTACCCTACCTTATTTCTTTCTATCTTTGGGGGGGGGGGGGCTCGCCGATAGGGGAATTGGAACCCTTGACTTTGCTGTTATCCTGTCTGTTTCTTAGAGTGCCTAGGAACATGAGGGGTCTTCAAAGAGTTCATGGAAAGATTTGTATTATCTTCTAATTCCGTTTTTCCATGAATTTTTTGAAGTACCCTCTTATCACAGTTTATGTTTAAAGCAAGATTATTGTAAGAATAAACAGCTACCTGTTAAAAATGGATCGTTTTTCTACAAACTGCAGTGACATGGCCATATTACTTAGATTGTTATTTATTTATTTGTTTATTTTTGACGGCTGGCAGGTGCTGGGATATGAACCCTTGATTTTGGTGTTACCAGCACCACACTCTCCCAAGTGAGCTAACTGGCCAGCCCCTGTTACTAATTTAATTCAAGAGATATCCCCTTAATATCTACTCTGTGCTAGGCATTGTGCTAGACTTCATGGAAATTTTTGCCAATGCCAATAGTTGCAGCTGTGTTTTATATGACCATGTCTGTTTACATGAACCTTGCTACTATCATAGTCATGGAATACTTGAAGTTAATTTCAATTATAAAGCTGAAGAACCAAAAGTTTTACTTTCATAGTACATACTTGTTTTGTCCAAGGAAGAAATTAATTTAAAACCACTTATTATTCTATGGAGCTCTGGTTAGCAAACTTTTTCTGTAAAGGGCCAGATAGTAAATTTTGTAGGCTTTAGGAGCCATATAGTCTCTTTAGCAACTATACTGTTGTAGGGAGAAAGTAGACATTGAAAATGAATGAGAGTGACTGTGTTCCAATAAAACTTTATTTACAGAAATTGAAATTTGAATTTCATGTAATTTTCACATTTTATGAAATATTATTTCTATTTTTATTTTTTTCAACCATTTAAAAAATGTAGAAACCGTTCTTAGTGTGCATGCCATACAAAAGCAGCTGTACATTAACAGGCATTAGACTGGATTTAGGTCCCACACTGTAGTTTGCCTGTTCCTGCTGCAAATAATCCAGGCCAGTAGATAAATAAACATACATTTTGTACTTGGCTTTTGAATGTCTTGATGTCACTGTTGATTTATATCACTGTTTCTCAAACTGAGGACTGTTATAGAGTTGCCGAGTAACCTACAGGACACCCATTTAAATTTGAATTTCAGATAAATAGCAAATAATTTTTTTTGTAAGTATAGCCCATATATTACATTAAAATATTTGTTATTTATCTGAAATTCAAATTTAACTTGGTGTCCTATATCTTTTTTTTGCTAAATCTGGCAACCCTAGACTGTAAGAATACTCCTAGCTATGTTTTTAAAATCTAAAGTTCTGTGGGAATATTAAATTGTTTTTTCATTTTGAGTTATTATTTTTTTGTTTGTTACAAGACAAAGCTTTTGTAGTGAGAATTCATTTATGAAAGACTTTCATAGGGTAAAAGCTTATTTTAGTCAGTGTTTTGCAAACTAGTAGTCATGGGCACGTCTTTGGGTCTGAGAGAATTTCTTTAAAGGCAATCTGTATATTATTTGAGTTTAAGAAATGACCTGTATGCAATGATTTGGGATTTTAAGATACTCCCCCCTCCAAATCAAATATAAAACTAGTCTATAAAGCACCCATCTCTCTCCCTTTACTCCCACAGGTTCTAACTTCCAACAGGAAATGTTTTTTTTTTTTCCTTTTTGTCTTTTTTCGTGACCGGCAACGGATTGCAACCCTCAGTGTTGCGCCCGTACCGGACCGGGACCGGCAACAGGATCGCAACCCTCGGTGTTGCACCCGCACCTCACTCAGCCAGTGAGCGGCCGGTCTGTATGTGGGATCCGAACCCTCGGCGAGAGCGCAGCCATGCTCCCAAGCAGCGCACTGTAGCAGTGCGCCACCGGGCCGGCCCCAGGAAATGTTTTTAAATTAGGAAACTTCTTTAATTAATTTGAAGGATCAACCTAGAATAGAAGGGTATATAGTACAAGAGCATTGTTTTAACAAATTTATTCAACTAGCTTTTGTTGAGCACCTACTATGTGTTAGGCACTGTGCTAGGTATTGAGATATAGCAATGAACAAGCACAAAGTCTTTGCTCTCATGGAATTTACATTTTAGCAGGGGATAGGCATTTATTCATTTATGTTAATATGTCATATGACAGATAGTGAGAAGACTAAGAAAAAGAATGCAGGGTAAAGAGGACAGAGTGGCTGGCAGATGTATTTCTGTTGGTCAGGCAAGGCCTCTCTGATAAAGTGCCATTTGACTAAGGACATGAATGAAGGGAAGGAGGATGCCATATGTGTATCTGGGGAGATTCCAGGACAGCTTATCAGTTCACCCCCTCTGCAGGAAAGTTATTTTGACATTTAGGGGATATCTTCTCCAAATGTGCTTGTGCTGAACATGACTGCAAGTACTCAAATAGTAGGTAATATACCTAATAATCCAGATTTGATTATGGTGATATATGCTCTCCAAAGGCATAAATAAGTTAACCTCTGCATTTATTAAAGGAAAACTTTCATGTGAATAATATGAAATCTATTTTCTGAAATCTTACTCTCCTATGCTAGCCTATACAAGAGCACTTAGTTGTCATTGTATTAACTTCTTTATCCTTTCATCATTAGCAGTGTTTTTAAAACAATGAAATAAATTGTGTGCTGTTTCAAGAAAGCAACCTTGGGATATTTCTGCTTCCTGAGCTTTTTGACAGTGATCATGAGACTTAGTGGGATTTAGGTAATGAATTCACTACTTACATTTACTTCAAAAAACAGGGAAGACTTGAAGGGATTAAAATAATATTTTGTCTTGTTATGGAATCCTTTTCTCAATCTAATTGCTTTAGTCTACTTGTTGGTTTATAGAATAGTAGTAGAATAGAATAGTAGTTTACATGGCAAGCTAATTTAGGTGATTGTTATAAGTATTATAAAATCATTTCCTTAATTCCTCTTAATTTCAGTAAAAATCATCTTTATTTTTAGTTTGCAACTATTTTCTTTTGTTACTTTTAGGAAGGATTTTTGCTGGGAGAGGTAAGACAAGAGGAAACTTTTAGCATCAGTGACTCACAAATCAGCAACACAGAATTTCTGCAAGTAATTGGTAAGTTTATCATTGACCTTAGAAATATCCTTTATGTATATATGTTGTTTTGTTCTTTGGCTCTTAACTGATTTTAATCTAAAGGATTAAAAGAGTGTATAGAAAGAAACTAAAATTATTTGCACTAACAAATGATATGAGATGTTTTTATAAGTTAGTGTAAACTTACAGTAAGTAACTGTAAGTTGTAGGCCTTCTCTAAAGCTCTCCCTTATACACCAACTGGTCTGACTTTTACTGAATTGATGTGTGACCACTTGATTGATCCTCTCTTCAAAACTACAGTGAGTTTTCAAAACTCAAGTTTTCAAATTAGGCTCTCCCCATTGCCAGTATCATCTCATATTATAACTAGTGGATTTGTTGTGCTGGTCTTTCCTAGAAGGATCTGGCAAAGATTTCACATTTGTTTACATGAGATATTTCCTAAACCTACACAGCCTTCTGAGGGATAAGCCGAACAGTTACTATGGGGGAGATTGCTGGGGAATATAAAGGAGTGTTTATCTTTGGATCAGTCTCCTTTTGATAATAGGGATCATAGTCCTTCCGGTGTACCTCAGGCAGATCACCAAACAACACATGCTGATACTCAGAACAAAGCAAGGTTCTTTCATTTCTTTATGCAGCTGACATTTACTGAAGAACTTCCATGTGTGAGGCGTATGCTGGGCAGTGAGAGGGATGCCCAGATACATCCCTGCTTTAGAACTGTGGGGAGCATAAGGCAGATATACAGAAATACAGTGCAAGATGAGTGCTGTGAGAAAGGAACAAAGAAAATCCCATGAGTGTGCAAAGTTGAGAGAAAAACTGCTAGGGGGGAAGTCTGTAAAGATGTCATGAAGGAGGTGAACTTAGGGCCAGTGGGCGGTACATTTGGAGGGGACACAGAGCAAGGAGTGTGTAAAACATATGTGGGTCTGGCCTATCGCTATGTGACTAAAATGCAGAATGTGTGAAGATGAGTGGTTTGTGGTTTGAAATACTGCTGGCGGGTTCGGTCATTTTGGGACCAAATCATCAATTTCAAGCCTATTCTGATAGCCCTCTGGTACATGGACTGGGGAGCAAGGGTGAAGATTGAGGTGGAGGAGAATTGGGGGAAGACAAGAGACTGAACTGTTTCCTAAAGGATCAAAGCTATAAGTCCCATTCACCACGATATCGACTTGCTAAGTAAAGAGTTGATATGTGTACAGATTATAGCTAGTCTTTCATTGAGGGTGTTTTTGTTTCATAGGACGTCTGTGCAGTTATTTATTAGTTGCACCTGGGTTTTCAAAATTAATCTGGTAGATGAAGGTTAAATTGCCAGATGCAGTTAACTGACAGCAAACCATGAAAGAAAGGGCTCTCTTATCTGCCGTGATTGCAAAAATAGCATTTCTGATTTATATTCTGGTTATTTATTTATTCACACCAGAGCTGTGAAGAGATTTTCTGGTATAGCTTAACCTTCAAAATAAGATATAAGTAAAATAAATTGACCACATTTATTATTTGTTGAAAATGTCTGAATCCATGCACAGACACCTTTACTCTTCAATAAGAACTAATATAGAATTTTCACATTTTGAATATGAAACATCTGTATCTTGTTTTGAACACCTATCAATTTAAAAAGGTAACTCACTTTAAGCAGAGCTGTCTACCCTTAATTCTAGAAGTGGTAGGGAGGAGGCAGCAATAGAAAAGTGTCCTGGGTACATGAGGTGGTGCAGTAACAGTTACTGGAAAGAATGGAAGGGGGAGGAAAGAAAGTGTCAGCCTCTTGCAGCAGGAAGCAAAGCCAGAACAACAGTACCACACAGTGAGGATTTTTAAATATATGTGTGCAGAGAGGCCATGTGTACTTCATGAAGAGCAGTCTAGCATGTGGATAAGCCGTGGAGGCAGGGGAAACTCTGGAAATTCCAGGCGAGGTTGCACAGCCTCTGCCTGCTGCCAAAGGTCCACTGTCAGTTAATGTTTCCTTCAACTTCATTCTGATCTGCAGCTTTTTCATGTTTGAGACCATCACTCTGTTTTTTTCATGGAGTGCTTAGTACTGCAAAACGTCTTAGAAAGTTTTAACATCCTTCAGAAAATACATGTTATTTAGAGCATGTCTTTAGTGCGCATTTAAGCCAGGTTGTAAATTATGTAAGAATCTGCCAGGGTGGATTGATGACAGGAGTATGCATTCAGAGTTCAGAACTTACTCCAGGGATTTTATTAAACAAGCTAGTCTTTTCTTTAAAGTAGAAGATGACTTTTTCTTTTCCCTGAACTCTGGGTAATATTTTTGTTACAAATGTTCCACATTCTAATTATTAACAGAATCTCTGAAATAACTTATGATTGTATACTATATCATTTTTAGTCGTAAAAGGAGGAAATATTTCTAGATGAGGTTTTCTTATTTGCATCACTTATATCAACAGTCATAGCTAGGCCAATGAACTTTTCTTTCTTGTGGAAGTATTGCATTTGTGATGTGTTTTGGCAGTATTAGCACAAGTACAGAAGCTAAAAGGCATAGCCCAATGTCCTTCAAGGCTGTGGTTTCATTTTAATTAAGTTAAAATTACAGCTGGAACTCTGAGGCTATGGCTGTTTAAACAGCAGGTGATGACTCACTCTCTAGGAGAATTTGATTAATAGAATTAAATTGTCAATTAGTCTTATGGTCTTATAAAGAAACCCAGACCCTAAGCCCCCTAAAGAGCTTGAAGAAATTGTTCACTCTGGTTAATCACTGCAATTTTTCAGAAGCCGTTAGGATCAGCTTATAAATGACTGTTTCCTGCGATACTGACCGTCTTTGAAAGGGTTAATAGACTTTCAGATTCCTTCCCCTTCAAAACACCTGGCCCAAGCTGTCATGAGTTGTGAATTGGTTATTGATGGTAGGATGGTTACAGCCCTTCTCTCCCCAAGCTGTCCTCACAGCTTTTATCCAACTTGATTAAATGCTTCCACTTACTGGTTACTTTTTCCTATTATGCTTTGTTTAAATAGTTAAGGTTGAATAAGGCATACAATAACTACATGTTCCTGAGTAAAACTTTTCCAATGTGTGCTTATCATACACAGACAAATGGGAATAGAACTTTCATTCTCCTGTCTACTTTGTTCTGAGAATGTGCCCCCAGTGTAAATGTTAAGAAGTCACACTGCCTTCACTAGTGTACACGCAGCACCTATGTGGGAAAGGAAAACTGTCTTTTTATTGCCTGAAATTTTGGTTAAAAAAAAAAATTCTGAACTATTTTATAGTTGTCTGTGTCTTACATGATTAACTGAGATGTTATTTCTTGTTTCTAATTACAGAAATCCATAACCATCAGCCTTGTTCAAAACTTTTTAGGTAAGCCACGTCCTTCTTTGTAGTTTTTAGTCCTTATTTAAAAGATTGATTGATTAAAAACTACTGAATTTAGGCCTGTAGCTGATAATGGTTACAAAGTCACAAGCATAACTGAGGGCACCCAAATTCATTTACTTATTGAATGCCAACTACGTGCGTGGAGCTGTGTTAGGTTAGGAGAGGGGGAGCGGGAAAGAGTAAATTATGGCCTCAGTGATTTAGAATGGAAGCATTCCCCCTTAGTCTCCCTATCAAGGGCTCTTCAACCATGCAGGAGAAAGTTAATCGGGGATCACATATAGATAAATAATTTAATGAGTGCTTTTAAAAGGAATAAAAAATGCATTTAATATACACCAGTTCCATATTATGACCAACTAAAGGACAGAAAGAGAAAGACATGGGAGGAGAAGCATTCAGAAGGACGAAAGCAAACAACAGAGAGATATCTGGAGGGAAAAGGATGAGAGATAAAACGTCCAGTATCTCTCACTCGCTGGACTTCTCCCAACTCCGTGTTTTGTAAATTCCCTGAGGCCCTACTTCTTCCCCCTTCGCAAAAGCCGGGCCAATACTTTCCTCCTAGTACTGCCCACACAAGTACAATTCAGTGTACTTGATCAGCACTTCTTGCTTAACACCCTCCAGCCCCTGCTACTTGGCTGTTCCTCCTACGTGTTCCCTCCGGCTTTCTCCCTAACCACTCTCCCATTGTCAGCTGCTCAAACACCCAGCCCCCTTGTACCCCAGAACCCCTGAGGACTTGAATCACATTCACCTCCCATACATCACCCCTATACGTTGATTATTTCAGAAGACGGTCATCATGCAAGATGTCTACCTATAAATGAAGCCTCAAAGTAGCTGAGAACTTCACCTCTGTTAGATTTACACATAACTGAAAGAGGACTGGAGAAGCTAGACGATCAACCAGCAGTTCATTTGAAAAGAATCTCAGAGCAAATGAAATGTTTCAGGCCCTGGTCCACAAAGTGCCTCTGTCCAGTCTATGAAAATGTCAGATTTGGCCCTCACTATCCAAAGCTTCGCTGGGCATGCCCTGCTTTGATCTTCTGAGGAATTCCTTAAAACTCTTGTCAACAAAGTAGTACCAAAACAAAGATTTAACTGAATTCTTAGAGCTGAAAAAAACCTTAGAAATAATTTTTCTATTCCAAACTTCTTATTTTGCAAAAAAGGAAATGGAGGCCAGATAGTTTAAGTGACTTGCCCCAGATCATACAGTGAGAAGCAGAACTGGAGCTGGAACTGGAATCTCCTGACTCCCCATTCTGTTTTTCACTGTACCTTGAATTCTTTCCGGCCTTGAAAAGCCTGTACTTATGGTGGTGGGAGGATTGGTGGAGGGATGGCATTCCTAAGACCATGACCAATGGTAGAAAAGTCCGGCATGTCATTACACCCAGATTGCTCACCACGGGATCCTGGTCCCCTTGATCTGTTTTGGAGGTGAGCACATTAGTTTGAAGCTAGCCAGACCTCGCTTGAAATCCCAGCCCTTCTATCTACCATCTCTATGATTTGGGGCAAGTCACTTAATCTTGGTATCTTTATCTACAAAATTAGAAATGAACCTTGTTAAATTGTTGGGCTGAACTAATACCTCCTAGCATTGAGGCAAGAATGATGTAACATGAGAAAGCATGCAGCCAAGTGTCAATAAGCATTCAACAAATGTTCATTTCCCTTTTTCGTTTCTCAGAAAATTAGCTACTACTTTATCTTTTTTCGTAATTGATATTTAGAAGCAAAGAAAAGTTGCCACAGCCATTTGAAGCCCCACATTTTGTAATTACTTGCTATTAGTACCTCCCACATGTGGAAGTAGTATCTTTTCAGTGTAGCAATCTCTTGAGTATTCTTTGATGCAAAAGATACCTGATATCAGGAAAGCATTTACACTGATTTCTCTGCATGTACCTATTGAAGAAAAGCAATTATATCTTTTTTAGATGCCCTATGGACACATGTGGCTAAGCATGTCCATGTTACAATACTATGTGATTTTAATGAAATTTTTAATTTTTTTTTTTTTTAAAACTAGTTTTTATGACTACGCAAGCAAAGTTAATGAAGAAAGTTTGGACAGAATTCTTAAAGATCGGAGAAAGGTATGTTCTATTCATTGCACAGTCTGATTCAGAAATCATTCCATGTCTTATCACCCAAACTTCAAACCAGAAAGGAACTAAGCATGTCCATGTTACAATACTATGTGATTTTAATGAAATTTTTAATTTTTTTTTTTTTAAAAACTAGTTTTTATGACTACGCAAGCAAAGTTAATGAAGAAAGTTTGGACAGAATTCTTAAAGATCGGAGAAAGGTATGTTCTATTCGTTGCACAGTCTGATTCAGAAATCATTCCATGTCTTATCACCCAAACTTCAAACCAGAAAGGAATGTAAAATGGAACAATGAGATTTGATGTTAATATGTGACATTTCTATTAAGTAAATTTTTTTTTTTGGTGGCTGGCTGGTATGGGGATCTGAACTCTTGACCTTGGTGTTATAACACCATGCTCTAACCAACTGAGCTAACCTGGAAGTCCTAACTTAAGTAGATTTTAAAGGTAAATTGTAGATGTGAGACAGTGTTTAAAGTATATCAATAGAAAAAAATTTAGGTATTTATAGTATGATTTCATTATGTAAAAATTAGAGGAAAAAAATGAACTATAATCTGAAAAGTTAACATTTGTTCAACTGACTCTAGGTGGTTCTTTTTACTTGTAATTTAAAAAATAAATTTGCAAATATTTAATACACGTGCATTTTATAATCAGGAAAAATATTTCTAAAAAATGTCGATTACAATTAAACAATTGAAGATGAACACAGATATTTTTCAAAATGTTATGTGTTTATTATTTCTATCCGTATATGCAAATAATATTCTGGTTATGTATGGTAAGCAAGTCTAAATAAAGTTGAAAATAAACCAAAGTTTTGCTGCTGCAGTATTGTCTGATAGTCTCATTTATAAATTTACTCTGCTGTACCATGTATGGATTTTACAGTTTTACCTTGGAATATTAATTCCAGAAAAATAGATTGATTTTCCAACCATCACTTTGAGGCGATGAAAAGCACCAATAAAAGTTTTCAACTAGTCAAATGGAAAACGAAATACCTTTGTTTAAGGATGTCAGGACTAAGTGTAGGTGGATTAAATCAGCGGACTTTCCACTGATGGGTATATTCCATGTAAAGAAAGAAAGAAAAGCAGGTAAGGATAAAAGGAAGAATAAGAAATGTGCAATGACAGGTCAGAAGAAAGGCAGAGTGGCTTTGTGTGTGATACTGAGCTCAGGAGGTGCTTAGTCCTGGCAGTCTAACCAAACTGCCTGCCCAGCAGGCAAAGGGTGGTAGAGCAGTCACAGGCATCACATGGTTCAACTCCCTCATTTTCAGTGATTTGCCCGAGAACATACAGTCTGGAATCTCTTACTAGTCCATTCCGCATCTCCCAGACCCACCTTACATCCTCATTTATTTTCATATTTTAGATTATGAACCTTTATCATACTTTCTAAAACTAGAATTTGTTCCATGAAGATTCTTATTGGAGCAGTTTTCTCTAACATCACCACATATATTAAAAGTACCAGGAAGTATTTTTTTAAGTACATTTCAAAATTTTAAGTATGAGAAATGAATAAGGATTAAGAATAGGTAATTCATAAAAGAAAAAAGAAATTTGCAAATAACCAAGAAATAAATGAAAAGATGTTCCACCTCAATCAGGAAACACAAATTGAAACAAGGTACTTTTTTTTTTTTTGCACATCAGATTAGCAAAAGAGTAAAAAGATTGGTAATGTCCATTGTTGGCAAAGCTGTGGGAAATGAGGAAGCAGTAGTTGGAATGCAAATTGATACAGACATTTGAGGGGACAGTTTTATGATAAGAGTCAGAATTTTAAGTGTACAGTTCCACCTGTAGGAATCTGGCCCAAGAAAATAATTAATTACACCTGGGCACAAAGATAGGAAAAGTTGGAATTATTGAACATTTTAACTGAACTCAGTCCGTGTTGTAAACATTTTCCATGAATTGACGCATTTAATCTTTGCAGGAGTTCTATGAGGCAAGTGATTTATTTTGCAGTTGAGACAGCTAAGGCTAAGTAATTTGCTTAAGGTCAGCAGCAGTTAATGGTGGAACCAAGGTTTAAACCATGTAGTCTGGCTTCTTGATCAGTGTGCAAGGGTGTCTGCTGCTTCATTGTTGAGTAGTGAGGACTTTGAAAAAAATCTAAGTGTCCACCAGTGGGGAATGGTTAAGTTAATTATGTTGTTGCCTCCATACTATGGGATACAAAACAGCCATTAAAAAGAGAGGTTTTCGGGCCAGCCCGTGGCTCACTCGGGAGAGTGCGGTGCTGATAACACCAAGGCCCCGGGTTCGGATCCCATATAGGGATGGCCAGTTCGCTCACTGGCTGAGCGTGGTGCTGATGACACCAAGTCAAGGGTTAAGATCCCCTTACCGGTCATCTTTAAAAAAAAAAAAGAGGTTTTCATGTGATGACGTAGGAATATCTCTAAGTTACATTAAGTGACAAAAGCAGTATTATAGTTTGAACCCATTTTGTTTAAAAACAAAAGTCTGTATGGGTGTTCTGATGTGCAAAAAAGATCTGGAATGAAGCCAAACAAACTTGGGAAGGGGGAGGGATGGTATTGATGAAGGTAGACTTTATTTGATAAGTTTTTTCTTTTAATGATCATGTATTCTATAATTGAAAAAAAGAAAAGGACTGTGTAGTCTTTTCAATAGTAGGTAGTGACACACTTCCAAATTAATTTTGGGATTTTAAAATAGGATTAGCTGTTTTCAGACACAATAGATCAATCATAGGTTGTTATTTGGGATTAACTTTGCTTTTCCTGGGGCCAACGGTCTCAAAAAAGCTAAAAGTTGATCTGTAGTTTTGATTTCATAGAACTTTGTTCTAAAACAAATGTTTATGTTTTTCTTTGCAATTAAAGATAGGAGTTTGTTCCAGCCATCTACCAAAAAAAAAAAAAAAAATCCTCTTTTACCAAATAGGAAAAAATTTGAACAGACACTTCACCAAAGAGATGAGGATGGCGAAGAAACACATTAAAAGATGTTCAATATCATTCATTATTAGGGAAATGCAAACTAAACTGATATTTGTTGAGGGCAGGAACTACGTTTTACATTTCGTAGTATTTCCTGTGCTACCTTGTACATAATATGAACTCTGTAAGGATTTTATTTTATTTATTTTGTTTGTTTGTTTTTGGGTTTTTTGGCATCTGGCCAGTAAGGGGATCTGAACCCTTGACCTTGGTGTTATCAGTACCACACTCTAACCAAGTGAACTAAGTGGCCAGCCCTTCACTCTGTAAGGATTTTATTCAAAAGTCTAAATTTCCATTATAAAAGCAGAAATGATATGTAATATTTAGATGACAAAACTTTATAATTGAACCTAGTTTGGATTTTTTTCCTCAGAAAAGGCACAAACCTGTGTCTTCACTTCAAAAGGATGGTTACTTGCAAAAGTACATTTAAAATATTAGGCTTAAGATAGAGGCTAATGTTTTGGATATGAAAATTCCCCAGTAGGTCTTGGTGTGGTCACAGGCTGAATTACTATTCTGGCAGAATCCATATTGTGTTTACAAAGTTTCCACAGTCCTTGGGGGTTTTAGGCTAAGGCCAAACAAAGCAAGTAAGAAGAAGGATTTCTGCCTTCTGGAAACATCTGCTCTGAAATAGGTAACAATAAACATAATAGCCATTCTAATATCATCATAAGGCCAAAAAGAACACAAGCTAATGATGATAAATATGCCCGGTATTGAGATAATTGCTTTGGCTCCAGAAAATGTAAGTGAATGTCTAACAGAGAATAAAGAAGAAAGTCTGTGTGAAAAAATGGCTATGAAACTTCAGCAGAGATAAGGTTTTAGGGAACAATCCATAATTCTTCATCACGGTTCAACATAGCTATTCAAAATGTGCTTTTCAGAATCAATGTCTTTGTTTCTCCATAGCTTTGCAACTAGCTTGTTTGTTAGCTCTGAAAGGTAGAATTGTAGATATCACCAATGCAAATTAATTTGGCATCTCATCCTTCATTGATCAGAATGATAGAGAATCTGTTTAAAATTATTAGCAAATGTCAAATAAATAAGTTGATTATTATCAGTTGATATCCAATATTAAGTTAATATTAATTAAGTTCCAGCATCTCAGAAAATATAGATGGAATAAAACACTTGGAATCAACATTATTGAAAAGCACTCTTACTCATCCAGTAGCCACTTTCAGGATTCTGTTCCTGAGTATTTTGTGAAAACAGCCAGTGTGCTAAGTGCCGTTGAGGTCTTTGCAGAGAGTCAGAGGAAGTGTGAAACATGCCCCAGTCCTACACAGGAGGTCATTTCAAAGTTAGGTACTGAGTACTGAGTCTTAGAATGAAGTGTGCCATGTTCACATACGTCGATACTTCTAGCCAACTGATCACTTTCTTACTTATTCTTTTTTTTGTTGCTTGTGTTTTTGTTTTCTTCTCTTTTCTTATCCACTTACTCTTGAAGGGAAAACTACTTTTAACTTTTTTATGACCACCATCATGTGACTAACGTAGAATTTGAAAGTTAGTATTGAGCGGTGGAAAAAGGCAGCCTGGTTCCACGTCTGTTTTTTTTTTTTTAAAGGTGACCATTAAGGGGATCTTAACCCTTGACTTGGTGTTACTAGTACCATGCTCTCCCAAGTGAACTAACTGGCCAGCCCTGGTTCACATCTTGATTGTCACTCATTGCCTGTGTGACATTGGACAAAACATCTCTTTTATAAGATAGTACACTGAAAGAAAGGTTTGAGTTTTCATTTGAAGGATATCAGAACTAATTGCTTTAATCTAATTGGAAGCTGTGCTTTATGTTCAGTAGTACTCCTTGAAGTCAGGCACTATGGCTTATTTCTTTGTTCCGTGTAGTTCTTTGCATGTGATATGAACTCACTGTAGAAAACATTACTCCCTTTCCCAGGTAGTTTGTAATAATTAGTGAAAATATTTGTGATGGAGCTAGTCAGGGGCCTGGCACAGGGGCTCAGCAAAAGTTAGTTTACTTCCTTTCTACATGAAAGTGCCAGGACATAATCTCAATTTACTGTTGATTTTAATATGACACTAACAGTTTTAAATTACCTTTACGTCTTAAAACAGGATTCTTTTTTTTTTTTGTCTTTTTCGTGACCGGTAAGGGGATCGCAACCCTTGGTGTGGTGTCACCTGCACCGTGCTCAGCCAGTGAGCGCACCGGCCATTCCTATATAGGATCCGAACCCGCGGCGGGAGTGACGCTGCGCTCCCAGCGCCGCACTCTCCCAAGTGCGCCACGGGGTCGGCCCTAAAACAGGATTTTTACTCAGAGTTTGTTTCAAAGAAGGAAGCTATATGAAGATTGATCTTCTACTAAAGAATTAGACTGTTTCTGCAACAGAAGTTTTCAAATTTCAGCATACAAAACAAAAACTCAAGGAACTTATCTTAAATTCACATTCCTGGATTGACCTTTAGAGGTTCTAATTCTGCAGACTTGGGGCCCAAGAATCTGCATTTCAGTCAGCTCCTCTCAGATCTCTCTTATGTCATCTGTCTTCCAGATGCCTAGTAAACCACATTATGAGACATATTCTTCCAGAGAGCATACCAGTTTAATTCACTTAGTCAATTTAGTTATGCTATAGTTACAGCTGACAAAGCTAAATTTTAAAAATAGTTGTATTGAGGTATAATTAACATACAATAAACTGTACATATTTAGGCTGTACACTTTGATAAGTTTGATAAATTTATATACCCATGAAACCACCACCATAATAAGATAGTGAACATATCGATCACCTGCATAAGTTTTCTTGTGCCCTTTTTTAATCCCCCCTTCTTATCTCTCCCCACTCCCATCCCTTTCAACCACTGATCTCCTTTATGTCACTATAGGTTCTTATTTTTTAGAATTTTGTATAATAGAACCTATTAGCATATACAGTACTCTTTTTTGGGGGGAATGCAGTGTTTAGCTTCTTTCATTCAGCATAATTATTTGGGAATTCATCTACGATGTATATTAGAAGTTTTTTGGTTTTTTATTACTGAGTAGGATTCCAATGCATGGATATATCATATTTGTGTATCCATTCACCTGCTGATGGACAATTGGGTTGTTTTTAGTTTGGGGCTGTCACATGTAAGCTACTATAAATATTTGTTTATAAGTATTTGTATGATACATTCAGAATTAAATTTGTAAAATTCACACAACTTTTAAGACTTTTTTCCTCCTGTTTTTGTTGCAGAAAGTCATTGGGTGGTACAGATTCCGGCGCAATACGCAGCAGCAGATGTCATACAGAGAGCAGCTTCTCCATAAGCAGCTTACCCGCATCTTGGGCGTGCCAGACCTCGTCTTCCTTCTCTTCAGCTTCATCTCCACTGCCAATAATTCCACTCATGCTTTAGAATACGTTCTCTTTAGACCAAATCGAAGGTAAAGAAAGCTTTCCCACCAGCCCCACATAAACAGAAGGATGTTGGTACAAGTAACTGGGATTCATGACTTTGAAAATATGTGTTATGGTGCATTTTGTGGCATCTTTAAAGAAAAGCTTTTGTAATTCTCTTCAGCTAGTTCTCTTTGTAGTTACAGAACTTATTTTCCTTGTCAGTTTTTGTATAAATTAAAAATGTTTTTATATCAAGAAGCATTAGCAAGACACAATTATTATGCATAAATTCTTTTAGTAATAAACAGCTAGAAATGATCATTTTCTCCTCTGTAATCCATTAGGTAGAAATAGTTTTATTGCTGTGAAAGTCTGATTATAATCTTAAATCATAGATTTCAAAGACAAAATTGTAAAATTGATCCACCTACTGGTTAATGAGGGTTTTGCATTGTGAACTTGTTAAAGTAAAAGAACATATGATTATATGATCTTGTTGTCTGCCTATACATAGCAAAAAAGTTTCCCCTGGAAATTCACTTGTAGAAAAAATTAAATTGAAATCAGTGAAAATAGCTATCAATTGTTAAATAGCCATTTCCAAGATTTCATTAATTAATCAGTAGATATTTCTTGAATACTTACAAGATGCTTAGCACTGCATCAGTCACTGTGGGGATGCAAAAGATGTATAAGATATGACCTCTGCCCTCAAGAAGTTTATAACCGAGATTCTATTTTAAGAGAAGGGAAAAAATTGCTAATTCATGCATCCTTGAGTTGTCTGCAGAAGTAGGTGCTCCATGAGACCTTCTGTTAGTTCACCAATGTCAGAGACTAAGATTCCTTTTGCCATACCCTTTTCTTAGAGTAGAGTGATACTTTAACATGATATCTTTCTCGATTTTCCCCACAGGTATAATCAAAGGATATCACTTACTATTCCCAATCTAGGCAATACCAGCCAGCAAGAGTACAAAGTGTCTTCAGTGCCAAATACTTCTCAGAGTTATGCCAAAGTTATTAAAGAACATGGGTAAGTTGAAAGGTAAAATGAGTTTTTTTCCTTTCTTTTGTCAACAATATTTCATTTGTTAATAATATTTAAAAGATGTGTGGAGAGATGCGAAAGAGAGTTTGAAATGGTTGAAATTGAAGAATGCAGTAAGGTAATTCTCTAAGCCACCACCAGCAGATATCAAAATTTTATTCTTATTAAAAAAGATAGTTTACTTTTACCAATTATTTTTTATCATTTGCCACAATTTTTTTTTTATAATTGATACAAAAGTTTGGATAGAGTATGTGTATTTCTGAGGTTCTAAAAAAAAAAGATAGTTTACTTTTACCAATTATTTTTTATCATTTGCCACAATTTTTTTTTTTATAATTGATACAAAAGTTTGGATAGAGTATGTGTATTTCTGAGGTTCTAAAAGTGAAACGTAGTCACTGAAAAATGTATAGGTATTAACTGTTTTTTAAATTGTCCTGGTAATGTGGATTCTTTTTTATTTCTCTTCTGTAATTCTAGTAGTATGGGCATTATTGCTTAGACATTGTCACCTTAGATTCACAGCATTTAAGTAATAGATTAAGGTAGAAATGATAGGAAAAATGACTTTCGGGGGGCCGGCCTGTGGCTCACTCGGTAGAGTGCGGTGCTGGAAAAATGACTTTCAGGTTCATGGCAATTATAACAACTTTGTGACATCTTTTTCTGTCCGTTCTAGTACTGACTTTTTTGACAAGGATGGAGTAATGAAAGACATCAGGGCGATTTATCAGGTTTATAATGCACTTCAGGAGAAAGTGCAGGTAACTGATTTATTTACTAGTTTTCATCTTATTTGTATTGCCCAAATGCTTTTAATTCTACTTTAATTTTTAATAATCTTCCAACTGACAAATGAATTGTGGTCCAAAAGTCAGAATAATGTCAGATCTGTAGCGTACTTGCTCATGACTGCCTACAAAAGCCTGTCTCACTCATTATGTGCCTGAATTAAGACTCTGAAGTAAATTATTAATACTACCGTTTTAAATGCTTGTGACCCCATTTGTAATAATGTTTTTTCTTGGAAAATGTATTTCGAGTTTAAAGAAGGGTAGCTAAGAACACATCTATCTCCATCAGTTTTATTCTAAATAGAGATGACACCGAAAGGCACCCATAACTCGGTACAGCTCAGCTTCTTTCATTCTAATTCTCTCACTTGACCCCCAGCTGCTCTAAGTAGAGATGATATCAAAAGACACCCATGACTCAGTACAGCTCCTTTGTTCTAGTTCACTCACTTGGTCCCCAGATGCCTCCATCGAGTGGGAGGATTGAACTGGAGCCTGTTCATTCCTAGTCATTCATGCAACAAATATGTATGGAAACAGAAGCTATGAGCCAGATACTGAGCTAGGTGCTAATGATACTTTCCTATGATGTGTTCTTAGGAGAAGTTTGTTCTAAACCCCTAAGAACAAAAGAGCCTTTGAACTTGCCTTTGAGGACAAGAAGAAAAGTGGTAAAGCTGAAAAAGCTCTCCCAGGCCTGAAGAAAGCCTGGCTTTAAGGAAGAAGATCCAGTATCTAGAGAAAGGAATGAAGGCAGCTACTGAAAAAGAAAGAAGCAGACTGAGTTCAGCCTGGGGCAAAAGGAGAAAGCATACAAGGGCAGTTTCCAGCATTAGTGTTCCCAGTTAGGGTTGCTGTACACTTAGCAGTATAGGAAACTTTGTACAGGCTCCCTGGTGACCAGCCAACTTTCTGGAAATTTCTGGTATTTCTACTATGGAAGGAACGTGCATTGGAGAACAGCTTTTTGTCCTGAATTCATGACCATGCTCTTTTTAGACTATCTGCCCTGGCCAGAGGACTTCAAAGTGGCTCTTATACATTTCATCATTGATTGAATAAGTCCTGATCTGAAAATACCAATATAACATACAGTGCTCTGAGTATAAATGGCCAAATTACATAGATGCAGTCTCACAGTTATCTTTTATTAAACCTTGACTTTGAAACTTATTTTCCTTTTCAACATTCCCTCATTAAGTTGAAAGCATCTCATTCCTGTCTTTTCTTTTGTTCGTCCTTTGTAAGTTAGACTGGTATCAAAAATTCCCTTTTCCTCTCATTAAAAATGAATAATTAAGCGAAAAGATTAGATCTTTCCTATCTTTATTTTTCAAGAATATACAAGCAAAATAGTATAATTATACTAAAATTAGGAAAGCAAGGCTGGCTGGTTAGCTCAGTTGGTGACAGCATGGTGTTAAAACACCAAGGTCAAGGTTCATATCCCTGTACCAGCTAGCTGTCAAAAAACCCAAAACAGCAAATTAGTGAGCCATAACAATAATGATTTCTTGTGCCTTCATGACTTTGTTCTACCTTACGTGTCTGCTTTTTAACTGAAGAAACCATCTGGGCTTTTACTTGGGTTGTATCAATGCTGAATGGGAGTGCCTCATGCTCGAATCTGAAGCTAACTCATCTTGTTGTCAACTTTTCCTCAGGCAGTGCCATAACAATAATGATTTCTTGTGCCTTCATGACTTTGTTCTACCTTACGTGTCTGCTTTTTAACTGAAGAAACCATCTGGGCTTTTCCTTGGGTTGTATCAATGCTGAATGTATGGAGTGCCTCATGCTCGAATCTGAAGCTAACTCATCTTGTTGTCAACTTTTCCTCAGGCAGTGTGTGCAGATGTAGAAAAGAGTGAGCGAGTCGTTGAATCTTGTCAGGCAGAAGTGAACAAATTAAGAAGACAAATCACTCAGAGGAAAAATGAAAAGGAACAAGAAAGAAGTAAGTTTCTTATTAATTTTACCATTCAGTATCAGGGAAATGTCTTGTTTTAAACATCAAATTATGCCATAAATGACATGCCTCCTTTCTACACTCATCAAGCCCCCCACGTTAAGCTAAATAGGGGAGGGCATTCTCTTGTTGCTAAGCTTTTCCAGAGAGGAAGTATTCCTTTTCATAGTATCTCTCTCAAGTCTCTGAAACTGGATGAAAAAGAAGACCAAAGGTAGAAATGCTGAAGCGGAAGTTAGGATAAATCCCAGGAAGTGATAGGTGCAGATGTGTTTGTATATTGAACAGCGTGATCTATTTACAGTGAAGGTGATAGCAGTTACAGGTTGAGCATCCCAAATCAGAAAATCCAAAATCCAAAAGGCTCCTAAATCTGAAACTTTCTGAGCGCTGACATGACTCTCAAAGGAAATGCTCATTGGAACATTTTAGATCTTGGATTTTTGGATGTGGAATACTCAGCCAGTAAGTATAATGCAAATATTCCAAAATCCAAAAAAATCTGAAATTCAAAACACTTCTGGTCCCAAGCATTTTGAATAAGGGATACTCAACCTGGACTGTGTTAACCCTGGCATGCCTAGCATGTAGGGACTGTGTCCTGTGTTGATTATAGTCACATAAAGGAGCTACCTAAAATTCTTTTAACTTTATATTTGATTCATAGTCAGGGTCATGATAAAGGCTTTAGATGTCAGGCTTTGGTAGCTGTGAATGAATGGATGCTATTAAGCTAAGGAACCAGCTGATTGATGAGAATTAGGTCCAAGAATCTAATAATTTCAGCATGGTAACAGACATGTTTGGTATAATACCATCAGATTTAACATTTGTATGTGAAATTTATAAAATATATGAGAAATAATATCAATAGTATAATGTCAACATTTTCTAATCTAATAAAAAACATATAATCCAATTAAAATGTAATTTTTATTTCCAGGCAAATGATGTCTGATTCATTTTTTTCTAGAAAAAGTAAAAAATACAAACAGGGATTTAGAGTAGTTGAATCAAATGTAGAATAGTTGAATAAATTATGGTGTGTTATAAATATATACAACTATAATTTGCCAATTTACTATTTTAAAAATTAAAATTGAAAACATTATGGTACCTTTATATGATGGAATATTATACAGCCGTTGAAGTGAATTTGGGTTAGTGCCCAATATATAATCTTGTTTGTTTGTTTGTTTGTTTTGGTGTCTGGCTGGTACAGGGATCGAACCCTGCACCTCAATATATACATACTTAAGTGATAAAACTAGGAAATAAAACAGTATAAACAGTGTAATCTCAGCAGTGTTTAAAATACATAGATACACACACAGACACACACCCACACAAAGCTGGATAATAAAACTGGAATTCAGAAAGGATTAGTGATTTGACTAAGTAACACAGCTAGGAAGTGGGGGGCCTGATACTTAACTCCAAATCCTGTTCTCTTTTCAGAGTTATCTGGCTGATAGAATTATGGGCAATTCTTATTTTCTTTGTTCCTTTCTAAATTTTCTAAATTTTATATGAGTGTGTATCATTTTTATAATGTAAAAAAGAAAAAGGTTACTTAAAATTTTTAAAGCTATATAGGCTGATAGGCGTAAGCTGTTTCAGAATATTCATAAAAATGTAAAGTTGTGTTCTAGTACCTGGAAGACTGGCCACCTAACATAGGGCTTTTAACCTTTTAAGGACAAAGAGGTGTATAAATGTATTGTAACAGGTAGCTATAAAGAAATACGTTCTTTGATGTGAGGAAAAATCTCACATTCACATGACTTTTAAAGGGTGTTAAGGACGTTCAGTTTCATCCTTTGGTCCCCACAGTCTTTGAGCACAGTGAGCAGCAGATAGGGGAAATAGCACAGGATTTGGTGTGACAAGACCTGTGTTCTGAGTTTCAGGGCCCTACTTCTAGTTGTCCCCTTAGTCAAATCACTTAACCTCTCTGAACTCTGGTTTCTTTCTTTCTTTTTTTTTTTTTTTTTGTCCTTTTTGAGGCTGAGCGCGGTGCGGTGAGCCTGTGAACACACCAGTCATCCCTATATAGGATCCGAACCCGTGGCGGGAGCGCCGACGCACTCCCAGCGGCACACTCTCCTGAGTGCGCCACGGGCTCGGCCCTGAACTCTGGTTTCTTTACCTAGATAATGGAAACAATAATAATAATGATGATGATGATAACACTTCAGAAGGTAATTATGGGGCATAAATAAATTAATGTTTAGTGAAATATTTCGTAAATTATAAAATACTATGCAGTTATAAAATAATTAATAGTAATTATCAATTTCACTGCCTCGCCATTTTCCAGAACATTCAGGTTGACCATGTAATTCATTGAGATGAAAAGCTGTGAAAATATGGAAAGTGTTACAGTATTCTTCCTGTTTTCACCCAGGACTGCAGCAGGCGATGGTAAGCAGACAGATGCTGTCTGAAAATTTGGAACCAGTGTTCAGTCCTCGTATGCCCTATTCTGGGTTTGCAGCTGAAGGTAGAAGTACACTTGAAGATGCAGAGGCCTCTGATCCTCCTCCGCCTTATTCTGATTTTCACCCAAACAATCAAGAAAGTACTCTGAGCCATTCTCGCATGGAAAGGAATGTTTTTATGCCTCGACCTCAAGCCGTTGGCTCTTCTAATTATGCTTCCACCAGTGCGGGACTGAAGTATCCTGGAAGTGGAGCAGAACTTCCTCCTTCCCAAAGAGCAGCTGGAGACAGTGGCGAGGAATCAGATGACAGTGATTATGAAAATGTGATTGACCCTACAGAGCCCTCTAATAATAGTGAATACTCACACTCGAAGGACTCGAGACCCGTGACACGTCCTGATGAGGACCCCAGGAACACTCAGACCTCCCGGATTTAAATAAACAAAAGAAACTCTCCACTTGGCACTGTTTTTCTTAATTGCTTACTGAGAGAGTTTTTTTTGAAGACTTAACCTGCGGGGAGAACTGCTTTCTTAGATACCTTGACTCCCGGGAGGAGAGTCCTTGTGCACAACTGGAGAAGCCTCCATCTGTTGGTTCTCACCTTCAGATGCCGTGTGCAGGTTTCACAACAGAATCATTAAGATAATCAAATTGTCCTAATTCTGATGCGATTCATGGATGTACTGGTAAATTAAGGCAAGTCAAACTTATTAGTGTACTTTCTGTTCTTTAAAATAAATTGGAAATTAGAGACTAAGCACAATTAGTCTATAAATGTTCTATAAATCAAAAACTTACCTCTTGCACTATCATGCCTTGAAATTTACTTTTTCAAAGGGAAATTGAGTTTAGCAGCAGCCTTCAAAGAACTTCTTTCTATGATGAGCCAAATTCATCTTTGCCAGAAAAGAAATTTTGATAATTCCAAGAAGCCTGATTGGAACAAATCGGATATACCTTCTCTTGTCTGCATGACTTTGTGAGATTCAAAGAGAGGGCTTTGTTTCAACTTTTTTCTACTAGCTTGATATGTATTGTCACTTAAAATGGTTGCCTTTAAAAAAAAAAATGTAGAAATACTAACTACCAGTAAGTAATCATCCAAATAAGTATGTCATAAAATAAATTATTTTTCTCTTGGTGGATTACAGTGACTACTGTGTTGCGCTAGCACATTTATGGTCTTTGTAGAAATACTAATTACCGGTAAGTAATCATCCAAATAAGTATGTCATAAAATAAATTAATTATTTTTCTCTTGGTGGATTACAGTGACTACTGTGTTGCGCTAGCACATTTATGGTCTTTGTTCTAGAGTCTTAAAGGAAGGACACACAGCAGTGGAGAACAGAAAGGAGTTATGTATCAGACTTGAGTTTTATGACGAACAGATTCCAAAAACAGTGGATTTAGCTGAGTTCATATGTGAGGGATATAATTCATTTAGATCTTCCGACAAATCCTAGTGTTAGTTTTATTTGTGGAGGAAAGACATTTATTAAACTGTTTGGGAGTCTTGGTGAATAAAGATTCATTTCAAATCTGAATGACCATACTTATTTTTTTTTTTAAGTTGCCTTTTGGGAGATAATTAAGGAATGTGTAGAGACTGTCAGGACGCACTTATTTTTTTATTTAATTTGTGCTTGTTTTCTAGTTTTGCCCAGAATGTGTGGAACCACTAGGACATTCATGAGCATGGTGGGTTCTTGGTTTGCAGGGGGCACCACCCACCATGTGAGGAGGTCAGCCCGTGAAGTTAGTACTGTACTTGGAGTTTAACTGCCTTTCCTTAGGACTAGTTAAAACTAGTTGTTAGAGAGGCTTCCAGGTTCCGAAAAAGTAGTTTCATTTCATAGGATAGACGTTTACTCACCAAGCTTCAGTTCCAATACTAAATCAGATAAAATGGACTGAAAAATGCTCAAACTGCCATTCTTTGGACATCCACTCTTCGGGGGCCTGTATTTTAACTGCTGTCCTGGGTTTGTTGGCCTTGTCCCCCTGCCATTTGATCTGACATGTTGCAGACCACTTTGTCTGCAGATGTGTTCCACTTTTGCCAGCTGCCTACCAGCTGCTTCAGCACCAGAGTGAATTTAATTTTGTTTAAGTGCCATTGCCATCTCCTCTGTTCAGATTTTGACATTCAGGAAAATGTTTTTATTTTTATGCCATACTGAAATCTACAATGTATATCTGACAAAGCAGTTAAATGTGACAATAAAAACTTATTTAATCATGACACTCTTGTTTTAATATCTGTCTCAGCACCCGACAAGGTCTTGCCTCAGTGTGCTTATTCTGGCAGTTCACAGTGTACTTAATAGAGTTTTTTAAAGGGCATTAAAACTCATCTTCATAAAAACTTTTTGTCAGGCTGGTTTCAGGAAAAATCCAAGAGCATAACTTACTAAAATGTTTCTGTTGATTTCAAGGAGAGTGTGTTGAGTATCAAGTTCCCTAGAGAACTAAGTATTAATTGAGTATAAAACAATCTTGGAAATGTCCCCAAAGGGCACCTTTCATAGAAGAACTGATCTTGTTTGGAGTGACTCCTCAGCCTAGATCTCCTAACAACTGAGATGTTGTGGAACTTGGTGCTCTTAACAGCATTTTAGGAATTATGGCACCTTAGAATGAAGATCTGCTGGCTAACAAGAATGTTCTGGATTCTGTGGGGGCCGTTCCAGTTGAATGATTTATCTCTTCCAAAATCCAGGGAGAGAGAATGTTTCAGCAGGATTTTAACATGTGAATTATAGCCATTTAGGATTCCATTCTACATCTCCAACTATTTGGAGAAAAGAAGACTGGATCCTTTTATCTTAAAAGTCTGGAAATGCTTAATTACACGTTGAAATTCGTTTTTCTGGAGTAGGATCAAAACATAAAAACAGAAATCTCATCCCCAAATATTCAGGGTATATATTTTCAAATTCCAGACACAATGGGACAGTGACAATAAGTGCTTTAATAAAAAGATTTAAGTTGACTGTCTTATAAATCTAAATTTTAAGGAGGTAAAAAAAAAAAGTGGGAGAATGTACAATAAAAATACGGTGGATAAAAGTAATGGTTATTGTGTCCCAGGTCTGGTTTGCCTTGACTGTAGGTTTCATTTTAGTTACTAAAAGATCTTTGCTCTTTTGTAAAGTTCTGCTTCATCCTTTCCCACAGCAAACCAGAATTCTGCCAGACAAGAAGCTTGAAAGCAAATGGTTCTGCAAATGTGGTGGTAATAAATAATGGAAAATGTTTACTTTTAAACTTTATGACAAACAGACTTCAGTAAAGTTTTGGGATCTAGCTTAACTGTCTTCCTTCTTACTGTGATTTTCGTGATGTCCTAAATAAGGCAAGAATCAGGACACAGAGTACATCCAAACTGGATTACTCTGGGATTAATCCCTAGAGATTGGGGGAGGGGCACCATCTAGCTGCGAGGCCTTGGAACATCTACAGAGAGATGTCCCGTTGAATGCCACATGTACACAGATCCAGAATGTGGTGCTTAGAAGTAGCCTTCTATCTGTGCAAAGATTTATCAAAAGGAAGTTCATTACAGCATATTTCTAATAGCAAAAAAACTGGAAATAACATTAATACTAATGAAAGTGGAATGGTCAAATTTTGGTACACCCCCAGAAAAAATAGTCCCTGCAGTCATGAGAAATAATGAGGTAGAAGTCAAAAAGATTTCTTGACGTGGAAAGATAGTTTCTAGATACCAAATGAAGAAACCCAGGTTTCCACATAGTAAGGTATGATCTGATTTTTGTGGTGAAAAAAATTTATGTAGGTTTGTTCTGGATAGAAAACAGTCTGGAAGGATATTTCACTTAAGTGTTAACAGTGTTGTCCCTGGGTTGTAGTGATATGGAAAACTTTTTCTTCCATCTTTCATTGATTTGCATTTTCTAATTTTTCTGCAATCAGTGTTTGTATAATAAAAGATTTCAGAAGTGATGGGTCATTGATGACATGTTATTTCATGCCTATTACCCTAGAACTGATTATAGAAATACTACTGATTCTCTGGATCTCTATGACCACACTTCAGTTTTTCAGATTTGTGGCCAATATAAAATCAGGCTGTTTTGGTTTTTTTGTTTGTGTGTTTTGTTTGGTGCCTGGCTGGCATGGGAATCTGAACCCTTGACCTTGGTGTTTAAAATCAGCCTGTTGATGCTAACTTCCCTGCAGTCAACCTTTATCTCATTTTCAGATAAAAGCACATATGTACGTTTTGTTTTGCATAAGAACTGATTTTTTTCCTAATAAATCTGGAGCCAATTCAGCTTTACTTAGTTCAGAATCTATTTCTAAATTTCCGAGAAGCACTTAAGAAATGCCTTTAGAGACTGAAGGTGATTCAAAACTGGAGTAATTATTTATGATACTTCTCAAAGGCAAAAGTGCTTGCTACAATGTGCATTTTTTGAATTTTAAAATGTAAGGATGATTTCCTCCATCTTATGGATACTCTTTGCAAGATTCATGTGTCCTGTTTGCTGTTATTCTTTAGTAAGGTGCTGGGGGTACCTTAGATTGTATTAAGTATTAAGAGGTGAAGAACCTTATTACACTTGTTCACATACAAACAAGTCAGGGAGGTGTATGATTCCAAAGCAAATATATACTTGCTTGGGACATTTGCTGTGTCCAACCAATTGCGTCTCTGCTTGATACAGGTGGGGGCCATTAGGTCTCAGCTGATTTGAAACAGATATGGTTTATTGAAAGCAAATGTACTAAAATGTGGATCTTCCAAAAGACCTTTCTGACAGTTTTAGAGTGTGGATATGTAGGAGGAATTGGGGAATAGTAAGTAACCACTCTCTAGAAATAATAAGTACAGTGTAGGTCCATGGCACACATGAGATGGGAAGTTAAGAGATGGATTTTATGCAATTTGACTCCTTAATGAGTTCTCCATCTTCTCAATCTGTCACAAATCTACTCATTGTATAAGGCCCAGCTCTATGTCACCTTTAGGAAAGCTTTCTTACTGGGAGGACTGTGCAACCCAAGTACCTTGCACATATCTTGATGTAGCACTCAGCACATGATAGAGCGTTAGACTCTGTGTCCGACTCCACTATAGGTCATGAAGCCCTCCAGGACAGGACAACAACTGAGGTATCTCAGAATTCCCAGGGCTGGCATGGAGAGGGTGTCAGTAAATATTCATTGCTTGAATGTTAAAGGAAAATAGGAACTATAGTAAAAGAGACCCAAATAAAGTTACTTCATAGTTATACTTATTCCTGATCAATTAGGTGATAAGACAAAGACTGTCATCTGGCGAGGTTACTTGTAAAAATTCTTCATTAAACTGTCCTTGCACTGCAAACCTCCTTGAAAAGTTTTCTACCTAGACCTCTTGGGGCCATTATGCAGTGCACAGGGGTAGGCACAAATTCAGCATAATATAGAGGCAACATAGATGATT